CCGGGACACGCGCGTCCCGCTGCCCGGGAACACGAGGGATCCAAGGGGCCGTGACTCCGTGCAGGGTGGAAATGGGGAAGGGGTTTTTCACCGGCACCAGTCGCGGCGCTACCGGGGGCAGAAGTGGGAACCTGGACGGACGTCCCTGCTCCTGCGAGACCTCTCTGAGGTTCAGGTCTCCAGGAGCTCTGCTTGGTGCTCTGCTCTGACCAGAGGGCACATCCTCGGGGAGCCTCCCTGCTTTTTCTCCCGTGTTAGGACATTTCCAACAGTGAAAAGCAGTAACAGAAAATACTGGACAAAAGCTACCTTAAGGATCTGTCACGAGGCTGTGTGTCAAGCGTGGGACCTCCAGATGTTACAGACATGCTGCAGCGATTTCAAAACTCGGCGTCACAAACCCAGGAAATGCGGAGAAAATGTTACCCTTGAAATAATTCCAACTTTGTGTAGATAGAGCAATGGTCAGCAAATGCACCTAAACAGCCCTCAAAAGTGGAGCAGGGAAACAGGCAATTTATCTGGGATCAAATAGGCAAAAACAGTATATTCTCAAAACAGAATGTGTTTTTCCCTGGACAGAAATTCACGGAGCAGCTGTTCGGCTGCTGTAACTACATTTTCTACCTTAGTCTGTTTGGACTTTAAGAGTATCCTTAGCTCTGAATTTCCCACTTGCACGACACATGGTTTTGCAATATGCTTGTCATGTGTTTCAATCCTGCAGTTACTCTTAAGGCACCCTCCGTCTTAGCTCTGTCCTCCATCAGATTTCTGCCTCCAAATGTTTTGCTTTCCTTTCATTTAAACGCTGATAGTACCAAACGCTGATAGTTTTTTAAGGTAGGAAACGCCTAGCATACCATACACATACAAAAGCCGCCCACTGACACTGCGTGGGCAGCGCAATTCTGTATCATCATGTCTTTCTCTGCGCTGCCTGTGACATCCCTTCCTCTCTGCTGCGATGGGTACAAAGAGATGATCACTTTAAGAAGAGCTCAGCTGCCTGAGCAGGGGGGCAGCTGCGTAGTCTGTACAAAGCCTGAGTGGATGAACCTTCCACTCAAACCTTGAGTGGGAGTCCTGGAGAAGACTCCAGGATCCCTGGGGCAGCTGGCACTCACGACCCAGGCTCACGTATCACCCAATACCTCCTAACAGTTAGGCTGAAGAATAGATAACCTTCATCTTAACTCTTTTGAGACGAGGCTGCTGTTCCTGACAATGATCAGCTTGTGTTCCTCGTGGTTTTCATGCACCTCCTCTTTGGGAAGGTTGGGCATCTGGGCTCTGTAACTGCGTTGTACCAGTGCAGCAAGGGGTAACTGATCGTGAGGAGGAACCTCGGCCTGAGGAGGAAGGCATGTTAATGCTGCAGATCTCCAGACCTCTGTCCAAAGACATGAAGCAGTGAAGCTTAGATTATGCCTATTTTGGCTTTGCTTCAACTTTCCTATTTCTCCTAATTCAGATACATCAGAAGGGTTTATTTCAAAGCACTCTTACTTGTCCTTCCAAAGCCCAGGAAAGCATTCATATTGCTTCTGTCAGGAAGGAGTTGGGGGCTATTAGAGAAGTGTAAGGCTTTGTAAGGGTATGGCATGGGACACTGCTTTTTTGTTGGTAGGTTTAAATTTCTTTAACTCTTTGATATACTGAATTTTCAGAGAACAGAATGCACAGAAGCTTCAGAGCATTTTGAAATACTGCCCTTCAGCACGAGAGATTCACTAAACTCATGAGCCCTCCTACACTGAGTAGACTGGATTCAGTATGGAAGGCAGCTCAGAGGAAGCTGTGAATCAACTGGAGTTCTGCTTCAGAAACTGAAGACTTGACATTTTTAGTTCAGTAGAAGTAAGGCATGTAGGAGGCCAGCTAGACATTTTCCATCTTTGCAAATAATGTGAAGTGAGACGCTGTTTCAATTTAATATCCATCAAAACGATTTAGGCTGTATATTATGTTCCTGGGAATATCTATCTAGTGCAAAGGACCACTAGCTGCCTGAAAAGTGTTTCAAAGCAACGGTCATTCTATAGTTTAATCACTGTACTCACAATTGAAACATAAAATGAGTCCCTAGTGCTTTAAAAAAAAACAGTTTGAGAGCATGGTAGGTTTTGCTGAGACTCACCCAGTAGATCTGCAGGCATCTTTTTGAGCTGGACAGTGGCAAAAATCTGAATTGATAAAGAATTTTTCGGCTATTCCCTAATGAGTTCCTCTTTCTCTGTAGTATTTTAATGAGCTCCAGGTTGTAGTCCCCCCGCTCCTTCTTTCCTGATGCTTCTAATTTTGGATAAATATTTGAGATTAGAAGTGGCTCTGGATATAAAATGTGACCCTTAACCTCTATGCAACTTTCTGATTATGACGTGCCATTAAAAACTAGATTCATCTCTACTCCTGCAACTTGCAAGTGCACAGCTCAAGTTACATTGGTGTCTTTAACAGAAGCAACATTTCTTTAAAGGATATGTCACTTTCAAATGTAAAATAGAAACAGCTGCATGCTTCAGACATCAAATAAGATCTACCATCTATGCAGAAATGAGACCAAATTTAGGGGTTTCTATCTTTTAAAATTAAATGACTGCTCCACCTCAGCAGCTAAGTAAGCACTAATATTAACATTTTAATTCTTTTAATTCTGTTTATTTTTTATTTATTTCCATTAAGATGTTAATTGGTGGAAGGATGGGAGACCTTCGCTTTGTGTTAGATAAACTGCAGAGTTTTGGTGTCTTAGCCTCGCTTTTTTAAAGACTGAAGTGAATTTGCAAGCCAGATATTTGTTGCACCTTTTGTGGGTGTTCAGAAACTTTCAGAACAATCTTACCGTTCAGTCCTCACGCCTCTTCAGATTATATTTTACATCAGAATGGTGGAGAATTACGGGAAATACATCCATAGACCTGCAGAAACAGAAAATCATAATTAATTGCATTTTTTTTAATGTGATACCAAATGACTTATCCAAGATACTTGAGGAGGACAATCTCAAGCAAACACATTTAAGTACATCTGCCTTAGGACACAATTAAACTGTGGCACCCTTTGCCCAGTATCCTGTGTGTGCCAAAAGCTCAAATTGATTCAAAACACCGCTGAGAAAATTAATGTAATAAAAATTCACCAACTTTATTAAATGTAAAGATGTAATTGCTGATTCCAGAAGCTTGGAAGGTGCAGATAGCTGGTAGCTAGAAATTTATACTGGGGGAAATATACCTGCCTATCCTCGTGTTCTGCTGCTGTTCGCAGTCATCACAGTGTACCAACCAGACCGGACTGTGTGAGCCATTCTTGCTAGGACATAGCTCTAGGAGGTGGACCTCTCTCCTGGAAAAGGGGATGCTTGAAAGGACTGCACTTCATAGCTGCCTTATGCAGTGCTGTATTTGAGAGTATCCTCAAAAGGACTGCATTTCACAGCCACCTTATGCAGTGCTGTATTTGAGAGTATGAACAAAGTTCCTTGGTATATGAGCTGAGAAATTATAAGTAAAAGAAGGATGGTGGCAATATCTCCATATATAGTTATAATGATTATACTCAGAAAGTTCCATAGTTGCTTAGTTAGAACAGTCAAGAAAATGCATACAGAAAATTTACAGGATATTGCCATATTACTGAAAGTGGTTCACTTGATGTGGATTAATCAGTTACTGATCAACTTTTCTGTGATAACTGACCACATACATGCTCCATGTCCATTGCAGCTTCGAAATCAAATATATCCGCTCAAACCTTTTTAATATATTCAGGAATCACAGATACAGACCAGGATTCCAGTACCCGAACATTGCAGCTATATGAGCAACATGTCATTTACACATTCCAACAGAAAAGAACAAATCCAAAACAAGGACTGTAAATATATTTTAAGCATTAACAACATATTGTACAATTAGATATCCTATGTTAGCATTTGTGTATCTTCCCAAATGGGAAGGCGAACTTAAGAGTTTTGTGGACTTAGAAGGCTACAGGCATAAGCAAGAGGATCCCTCCATCCAATTTCCCATCCCTTATTCTCCCTTCTCTCTCACTGCTGATATAGTGTTATCTATAACAAATGTCGCTTCCCTTAAAAGGACCTTTTTCCTTTATAAGGCAAGCAAAGCAGACATTTCTGCGGGAGCCGGTGGGTGGTGTTGGGGACTTAAGCTTAACATATATGATAAATATAGAAAAAGTAAAGGAAATATTTGGAATGTGGTAACAACTGAAGCTAGATAAATACCAGTGGTCACCAGAACTAGAAGTTCTTTATGATAGGAGCAAACAAAACAGACCGTAGCTGAATCTCTGGAGAATGGCTTAAACACTACAAAGGTGGTGCTGACAGTGAGGGGAATGGCTCCAAGAGAAATAACTTTGTGTTTTTTTGTGAGGGTGCCAACAACCCTCTTTCGCAGGGGGGGCTCCACTTGCGTGGTCTCGCCACCCATGTCCTGGTTGTGACACCGCTTGGACTCATCTGCGAGGGCAGCGCAGTCAGGCTGCGCTCTGGGGGGACCAGCGCACGTACAGGTATCTTCAGCCCTCAGTCGCTCTGGGCTGATGGCCCCGGAGCTCAACGTCCCTGCAGGATGTTCAGCACACGGCCACGCTGCCCCCAGGCACATCTGGCTGCCCCCAGGCACATCTGGCTGCCCGAACCGCCACGCCAGGCCTGGACTCAGGCTCCTTCCCATGCCATCGGCCCAGGCTGGTGTTCCCTGGCACACAAACCCACCAAAGGGCAAGCACGGTGAGGCCTGGGCCACGCAGGTGCGGCCAGGTCTGCCTGGCTTCAGCAAACGTGACAGAACGCAGTACTGGAAAGTAAATGGAAATGAGACGCTGTTGATAGCTCATGGAGGCGTTAAGGAAGAGGTCAATTAGTTTTTTTATTATTATTATTATTTTGCGTAGAGGCCGTGGGCAGAGCCAGGGTTGAGGGCTCCGCTGCTCCCCGGCCCTAGTGGGCGCTCAGGGGCCCGCGACGCCCG